AGAGGAAGAGGAAAAAAAACATATATATGTGCATAAGCAAGAAAGTAGAAGTGGAATATTATTGATGATAACATGCTTGATTGGGTCACTGTGCAGTTTATTCTAGATGGGAAATTACATTTAGTACGCTGTGATGATGCTCAGGGAATGAATGTTAGGGAAAAAAAAAAAGAACGAAAACAAAAAACAAACAAAAAAAAACGGTTAAACTATTCGTACCATTTAAAAAAAAAAATGGATATTTGATGGCTGCAGTGAGCGGTATGGGCCCAGTTGGGTTCTACTTTATAGTATGCTCTTTTTACCCAATGGGGTTTAGGCCTAAAGTCAGACTTGAGTTCATGTAGAGGCATGTGTCAGCTGTGATAACTATTGGAGAGACTTAGACTAATTAAGATCACTGACAGATCATTTGGGGAGGGGTGAGGCACGGAGGGCAATCGGGGATGACAGGGACAATGTGGGAGGAGGATGGGTCATAACAGAGGGAGGGGGATGGGGAATCTAGGATGGTAAAACAAAAGGCAAGGTATGCAGGACACAAGAATTGGGAAATTATTTGCTGAGAACATATATGTTGACGTGCTTGATTGAGCCAATGCACAGTATATCTTGGATGGAAAATTCATTTTTGTGTGTTGCGATGGGAAAAAAAATTATAATAAAAAATAAACTATAAAAAAAAAAGAGAAGAGGATAGAGAAAGATAGCAAGTGAACAATAGAGGGGATGTTAGTGAGAAACAGATATGGTTTATTATCTGTTGAAGATGACGTGTATAGTATTCTCAACTGGACTGGTCTGGGAAGTATTTCATGATGGGTGAAGTCTTTTAACAAGTAAAATGAGAAATAATGATTGACTGTTTTAAAAAATTATAATAATAATAATTATTGGGAAATGCATGGAAAAGACATTGAATGATAAAGCGGGGAGATCGATGCCTCTGTATTGACTGACATGCATGGCATTCCCTTTTGAAAAAGCAATGGAAGTCAATGTAAAGTTATATGTAATCCAATGTAATATAAAGAAGATTATGATAATAATAAAAAAAAAAAAAAAAAAAAGAGTTAAGGGCTGGCTCCAAGCAGTGATTAAGACTGTGCATTGGGAATAGAAACACACAGGTCAATGGTGGTTCAAATCCTGATCCAGCAACTTGACAACCATGCCAGGTGACTTGTGTGCATGTGCCCCAAATCCTGACAGAATGGGAAACAGAGGAAAAAGGATTGTGGCATGACCATAGTCATTTGGGGGGAGTGCTTGTTCTTATTCTGTCACCCCACCTCTCTCTAGCAAGCACATAAGCCTCTGACAATAAAAAATTAGAAATAAAACACAACAGAAGACAGATGTCAATGATGAGAAAATTCAGATGTTAGAATTATCTGTCCACAATTTTAAAGAAATGACCTTAAAAGTGCTTCCACGGAGGCCAGCAGGTAGCATGGTGGTTAAAGGCATGGGACTCCAACCTGGCCGACCGTGGTTTGAGTCCCAGACCCAGTATCTTTATTCTCTCTCTCTCAGTCTGTCTCTCGCTGATCAAAACTGGAAAATAATAATAAAGTTTAATAAAAAGAATTCTTAAAAAAAAAAAATGCTTCCATGGGACCAGTAGTTGGCATAATGGCTGGTGCTGGACTCCCATATAGTCGACTGCAGTTCGAGTCCTGGACCTGGTGGCTTAAACTCACGCCAGGCGCATGTGCATGCGTGCCCAAAATCCCAAGAGAAGAATAAGGAGAAGGGATTGTGGTGTGGCCATCCCCTCTGGGGGTGATTTCTCACTTTCTGTATCTCTCTGTCTGTCTGGCAAGTGCACATGACGTGTAGCAAATAAAAAAAGAAAAAAGAAAAAAGAAAAAAGCTTCCACAAACAATTAAAACATTTGTAGGGGGAAAAGGCAGAGAAACAGAAGATATAAAAAAAGAAGAAAATAAAAATGATAAAACTGGGGCAAACCCCAAAGCTTTGTGGTTAAAGAAGCTATATTCCATATGGCCAACTGAGGTTCAAGTCCCAGCCCCAGAGGTTTGGGGGGAAAAAAAACCCATACACTTGTTACATGTACATGCCCCGAATCCCAACAAAAAAGAAAAACAGAGAAGGGATTATGGCATGACCATGTCCAGTCAGGGCTGCCTCTCCTGCACTGGCCCCCCCATCCTCTTTCACTTTGTCTTTCTCACTCTGAACAAATATATCCTCTGGTAATTTCTAAAAAATTCTGAAACTGAAAAATGCCATAACTGAAATTAAATGGGTTCAACAGTAAGTTTGAGAAGACAGAGGAAGGCTCAGTGACCATGAAGACAGATAACAGAATGTACCCAATCAGAGCAACAAGGAACACCTACATCTATATCTGCATTTATATATCGCTTCAGGGATCTCTGGGACCTAATTAAAGACCTAAGATCTGTGTCTCTGAAGTCCTAGAAGCTGAGGAGTGTGGGGCTGAAAACACCCACAGTTTGGTGAATACATAAGTCTATAAATTTAAGAAGCTGAACAAACCTCAAACAGGATAAACTTGAAGAAATATGTAAGGAGACAAAATGACAAAATTTCTAAACCCTAAGCACAAAACAGTCTTTGGCTAGGCAGTGGCATAGCAGTAACGTACATGGACCCACAGGGGTTAAGTCCTGGGTTCACGTCTGGAGACCTCCTGAAAATGCTGGCTGAGTGTGTGCGCATGATCCCCAGTGACTGAGAATGAGGGTGGACTGAAACGACCCCTGTGTCTGTCTGTCTGTCTGTCTGTCTCTTTCTCATAACAATAAATACATAAACTTAGGAAAAACTAATCTTGAAAGAAACTGCATATAAAGAAGCTATTATTTGAATAACTGGATTTCTCCTCTCAGAGGCCGGAAAGAAATGGAATAACCATTATTTCAAATACTGACAGAAAACTGTCAGGACCAGCAGATGGCGCAATTGTTACATTGCTGGATTCCCACATGGCTGATGACAGTTGAAATCCTGGAACCAGCAGACTGAAACTCACATCAGGTACTTTTGTGTGTGTACCCAAAATACTGAGAGGAAAATGAAGAAGAAGGGATTGTAATGTGGCCTTCCCCCGACTTTGAGGGTGATTTTTCATTATCACATGTCCTATAGCAAAATCTCTCTATAAAAGAAAAAAAAAAATTGAACCTGAGTTTTATATCCAGTGCAATTATCTTTCAGGAATCAATGGGAAATCAAGACATTCTTAGAGAAAGGAAAAACATAATCGGTGACCAGTGTAGCAAGGAACTACTCTATAACAAAGGAAGCTTCAGCTTCAGGAAAGAACGATTAAATGGGCAAATGGGGTAAATGTCAAATTTAAATGTGAAACATAAAACTATAAAGCTTCTACAAGAAAACTGAACCCTCACTGGAGTATAGTAACTATGTAGGAGTCAAGCAATGAGGCCGTAAAACAACGTTCAACTCTACTAGAGACATCAGCCAGCGTTTTCTGAACAAGCTAGACAGCAAGCACTTTAGCTACAGTGCAGTAACTTCGATGGAATGACTCAACTCCACAAAGACAGCCTGAGGCAACATGGAGACAGCCATGCCTCTCTCCAGCCCAATGACAGCATCCAGCCTGCCCAGTCACAGTTTGCCAAACCCTGCTCTGGTCAGTGTGTCTTTCATTAGTAATAAAGGTTAGAAATCACAGAATTACTTAATGTGTATTCTACTATTGAGAAAATAGGAAAATACAACATGGATGACAGTCAAGCTTTTCACCGTCTGAGACAACAGCACAAACATGGAATAGAAAGGTACTTCTGTGGGCCGGCCCCAAGGCACACTACTGAAGCCCTGGGCACAGAAGGCTGCATCCCACAGAGCCACTTCTGACCCATCTGAACTATGGCAGCCCATTTTCATATCCCAACAGGTGGAAAACCCCCACTGTGAGTGTGCCCTAAATTCCAGAAGGGTGGAGAAGAAGAGGGATTGCAGCGTGACCAAGCCCTAGTGTGGGGTCCTTTCTCTATCCCTGGCAATCAAGAGAGAGAGAGAGATGTTTGTCAGCATGTGTACATTCTTACATCATAAAATGTTAACAAATTATAGATTAGGTAAAAGTATACAGAAATTTCTTGTACTACTTGAAGATTTTTCTTTAGATGTAATTTTAGATTTGGAGCAAAGTTTAAGAGAATTTAAAAACAGCTTACTGCTCTATATTTTCTTGGACCCTACTAAGTGGTTTCTGGATGTTTTCACACTTTTCCTCCAAAGCACAGAATCGCTCTTCCCAAAGACTGATTGACTGGCGTAGTTCCTGTAAGAAAGTCGTGGGAAGGGGAAAGACACTTGAAATTAGGATGCTTGAACATTTTTTATACATGACTGACAGCATGAGTAATCCCCCCATAGGTGAATTATACATATACTTGACAAGAGATCTTTAACTCCACCTCTCCCCAGTAGAGGAAAGCAGTAGAAGTGATAGTAAAAGAATAATATTATAGGAATACTTTAAAGGAATTAATTAACAAAACTTGTTTTAACATTTGGTAACAAATTAATTACAGTATATCTCAAACCAATAACATACATCAAGTTCATGGTTTTCTCAGATTATGCTTAAGAATCAGTTTGACAGGTATATAGGTCGCCTGCTTGCTTTCTTTTCTTTCTTTCTTTAGTTTACAGAGAGAGAAGTAAAGTGAGAAATCACTCCCAGGGGGATGGCCACACCACAATCCCTGCTACTCCATCCTCCTCTCAGGATTTTGGGCAAGCATGCATGCACACACGCCCAGCAATTTTCAAGCCACCAGGTCCAGACAAAAGGCTCAGTCATGTGGGATCCAGCTGCCCCCAATGTTGTTTTGCAACTAACAACACTATTAGAAGAGAAAACTTAATGATGATAACCTAACGGGTCAAGCAATTCAAAAATATCAGTTGTGGGATCAGCAGCTGGCTTAATGGCTATGTTGATGGACTCCCATGTGGTCGACCGCAGTTCAAGTCCTGGAACAGTGGCTTAAACTCACACCGGGCGCATGTGTGCATGTGCCCAAGAACCCGAGAGAAGAATGGAAGAGAAGGGATTGTGGTGTAGCCATCCCCCATGGGGGGCGGAGGTGATTTCTCGCTTTCACTTTCTGTCTCTCTGTCTCTCTCTGGCTAGCGCACACCTCTTATAGCAAAAACAAGAAAGAAAGAAAGAAAGAAAGAAAGAAAGGAAGGAAGGAAGGAAGGAAGGAAGGAAGGAAGGAAGGAAGAAAGGAAGGAAGGAAGAAAGAAAGGAAGGAAGGAAGAAAGGAAGGAAGAAAGAAAGAAAGAAAGGAAGGGAGAAAAGAAAAGAAAAGAAAAGAAAAGAAAAGAAAAGAAAAGAAAAGAAAAGAAAAATATCAGTTGCTGGGCTGAACCCAGAATACAGAGTCAAGCTTATGCATAGGAGCTGGATCCCCATGGCCAACTGCACTCCAGACCTGGCCCTGGTGGCTTGAAATACACGTCGTTGGACACATGTGCGTGTATAGTGCCTGCCCAAAACTCCGACAAGGAGGAGAAAAGAACGGGCAAGGGGTGCGGTGTGACCACTCCCCACTGGGAGGGATTTTTTCTTTCTTCTCTCTCTGCCTCTTTCTATATACAAACACACACACTCCCTCTGGAAAAAAGTTTTAAAAATTTTACAGAACTTAGTTTGATCATAAATAAAAACTGTTTTATCTGTGTTCATATTTGATATCTTTTAAAACAAGGGACCAGCAGGTGGCGTGGTGGTAAAGGCGCTGGACTTGCACATGGCCGACTGCAGTGCAATTCTGGACCCAGTGGCTTGAAACATCACGCCAGAAGGGTGTGTGTGTAAATGCCCAAAATCCCAGAGGGGAAGAGTTTTGTAGAGTGGTCTTCCCCTCAAGGGGTGATATTTCACTTTCCCTCTCACTGTCTGTTTCTACCAGGCAACTACACATGCCCTATAACAAACAAACAAACAAAAATGCTGTGATATGCACACGACATTCTAACTACATTGCAAAATGAAGAGGGTACCCTAAAGACCCAGAAGCATGGAAAATACATCAAGGTTATTCACTATTCAGTCTGTTCAGTGTTCAATTTCTGGCAAATAACATGAGCTGACAGCGCACAGCTTCCACACTGAGTATGCGTAAAGTCTGTCAGTTCTACTAATCTCAGAGTGGCGGTAATGCAGTATTGTCAGTTTTGTCTACATGCGAATACGTGCTCAAAATTTTAATAATTGTTCATTAAAGCAGCCGGATGCCACATGACTGGCAAGACAGCTTGAGTCCCAGACCCAGTGGCTTCAGAAACACATTGGGTGAGTGTGAGCATGCATGCCCAAAATCCTGAAAGGAGGGAGGGATGAAGAAGGGATTGTGGAATGACTATTCTCCATGGGGCGTACTTTCTCCCGTTTCCCTGACGTTTGTCGAGCGTGCGTTAGAGGACTGTTTTAAAGTCTCATACAGTTTACATGGAATAGTTTACATGTATAAAGTTAAATCATGAACTACATTACAATCAACCAATATAAATTTTTTTTTTTTGAGAGATTTTCGCTATAGGGTGCGTGCGCTTGCCAGACAGAGACATTAGAGACAGAAAACGAGAAATCACCCCCCAGGGGGGATGGCCACGCCGCAATCCCTTCTCCTCCATTCTCCTCTCGGGATCTTGGGCACACATGCATACGCACCCGGCGTGAGTTTTAAGCCACCGGGTCTGGGACGTGAACCACGGTCGACTACATGGGAATCCAGCGACATAGCCATTACCCTAACTGCTGGTTCCCAACCAATACAAATTTTTAATTGTATTAATTACTACAATTTAAGTCTGTCAGGTGGTATGGTGGTTAGGGTGCTGGACTCCCACATGGCCAGCTGCGGTTCGAGTCCCAGACCTGGTGGCTTGCTTTCTTACTTTCCCTTTCTCTCTCTCTGTCACTGTCTGGTCACATTTTAAAAAAACAAATAATAATGGCAAATAAAAAAAAGAATACTAAGAGGAAGCAGGGCTTCATTTATGAAAGAAAATACTATTTGTGTCATCCTAGAAAGAAACAGTGGATCAAGTTATAATGCAGATACATGTTCACTTTATATGCTATAAACATTCTCCTCTAACGATGTCTCTCCATTTTCCATCTTGGCATGAGAAAAGGTGTGCTTTGTTTATCAGGCGCTACTTCATTATGGGATTCTCCATGTAGCGAATCCTCAAATACTAATTAAGAGAGGTATTCTCAATTACTTCACATTAATTACTGTTATAAGCAACAGTGGCTATGATAGTTCCAGTCTTCTAAATTAATTTTACAACATCTCAGATGTTTAACAGATTACCAAGCCATATCAAGTCATCATAAAACTTTCTTTTTACATCCCACATGTAAACAAGTTACCTGTGAATAGGTTTGCTTAACTGTCTTGAGGTCTTCAGTTAAGCTATCACACAGCTTCTGTGATTCAACCAAGGATAAAATTGTATTTTCTTGCAGTTCATGTAGATTGTTACATAGAATATTAAGAAACTCATCCATTTCCTTTTTCTGATCTTCTATCTTTCAAGGAAAAAAAAAAACAAACATTAGTTTCCTTCTTAAACATCAATTCTGAGATATTAAGAAGGTGACATTGCTTACCTTCTCAGCCACTGTCAATGAAGTCTTGAAAATATGCATAAGTTGACTCTTGATTTTCAATATTGACACCACAGTGGGAGACAATACTGTTTTCAGTGAACTTAGAAGGTCAGTCTTAAGAACATTCTGGTTTTAAAAATAAACAAACAGATCTTTAGAAAGATTTTCACTTTAATAAACCTAGATGACTACATGATAATATCTTACTTTGGTAACTAAACTTGTACATCAGAATTCTACAGTTCTGGGACCAACAGATGGCGTAGTGATTAAGTTACTGTACTTCCACATGGCTGAACACAGTTCGAGTCTGGGACCTGGTGGCCTGAAATTCACTCAGAATGCATATGCATGTATGCCCACGATCCTGAGAGAAGAATAAAGGAAAAGGGATTGCATCATGCCTATATCCCCTAGGGGTTGATTTCTCACTTTCTGTATCTGTGTCTCTCCACCAAACTCACATGCCTTATTGCAAAAAATTTCTCAAAACAAACAAACTAACAAAACTCTAAGTTTCTGTTCTCTATTTTATATATCCTATCCGATGAGATATGTTTGTTTAGACTTGACATCAGCCTAAGTAATTTAGTACTGCTTCTAGTAATTAAGAAAAAAGGATCTGGGGCCAGCAGGTGGCGTGGTGGTTCAGGGTGCTAGACTCCCACATGGCTGACTGTGGTTCGAGTCCCAGACCTGGTGGTTTGCTCTCTCACTTTCCTTCCCTCCTTCTATCACCCTTTTTCACTCTGTCCCTTTCTGGTCAAATTCTAATACATAAATAAATAAATAAAATAATTCTTAAAAAAAAAAAAAGAAAAGAAAATAGACTCTTAGTGTATAAGGAAAAAAAAAAAAATTAAGGTTTTGCCATAGGTTTTAAGCTCACTGGGTCGGGAAAGAGAGAGAGAGTGGGAGGGAAAGTGAGAAATCACCCCCAGAGGTGATGGTCACATCACAATCCTTCATTCTCCTCCTGGGATTTTGGGCACACATGCACACATGCCCAGCATAATTTTCAAGATGCCAGTCACACTGCAGTCAGCCATGTAGGAGTCCAACACCTTAACCACCACGTCACCTGCTGGCCTTGCTTCCTGTTTTTTCTTTTCTTTTCTTTCTTTCTTTTTTTTTTCTAAGATTTTATTTCAATTCATTGCAGCTATAATTCTTTTTTTAAAACTGACTACTTTTCTCAGTTTTGTTATAGGACACATGCAAACCGCCAGGTCCAGGACTTGAACCACAGTCAGGCATGTGTAAGTCCATCACCCCAACCACCATGCCATCTGCTGGCCCCCTTGCTGGTACAACTGAATAAAATATATTTTAAAGAAGTTTAGGTTACTAGTTAAAAAGCCTAAGAACAATCATCAGGAGTAAGTTTTTAACTTGGAAAAACTGATGACAAGTCCTTCTGTATCAGAAGAACTTGTAGAGAGTTCCAGCAGCTCAGGCAGCGGGAGGAGTGGTAGGGTTTATCTGCTCAACTCCACAAAGGCTCTAGGCGCGCCGCGGCCTCATCAGGCACCCAGCACGCACCCTGTCCGCAGACAAGATGCCCAAGAGGAAGGTCAGCTCAGCGGAGGGGACGGCCAAGGAAGAGCCCAAGAGGAGATTGGTGAGGTTGTTGGCTAAACCTCCTGCAAAAGTGGAGATGAAGCCAAAAAAGGAGGCAGGGAAGGATAAATCTTCAGACAAAAAAGTGCAAACAAAAGGAAAAGGGGAGCAAAGGGGAAACAGGCTGAAGTGGCCAACCCAGACACTAAAGATTTACCTGCAGAAAATGGAGAAACTACGAAGGAGGAGATGCACCCTGAGGAAGCAGGCGAGAAAGTCAAGTCTGACTAATGTCATATACCATATCTTATCAATGGTCCGTCTCTCTTCTTGTACAATCCAGAGGAATATCTTTATCATCTATTTTGTAAATGCGATTTTTTCTAGTGGCTCTAGAAATATTTTTAAGGAGAGAATCCCACCTCATCCCATTTTTAAAGTGTAAATGTTTTTTTTAAGAGGTGAAATCATTTACTGGTGCTTATTTTTCAGTACAAGCAGAAAATAGTGGGATATAGACTTATAGGAGGCTTTGACTCTCTTGCGTGTCAGCTTAACATTCCATAGGTGGGGGTGAGTGGGTAGTTTTTATATCCTAAATACAAAGCATACTAAATGGCAGTTTGGAGTCACAGTCATGCATTTAATGTGTCTTGAATATTTTAAATTACTCCTAGTATGTTTTTTAGTACTATTGTTTCCTAAAGAAAATCACTCTTTGATTGTTGCTCTCCCTGTCGGAATTATGTGCACTCTGTAACATCTTTGGTCGTGGTAGTCCAGTTTTCCTAATAATGTTGTTAATGTGCTGTGAAAGATTGGAAATTTGAAGTATGTAGTGTGTATGATACTAAATTGTGATTTGGTGGGACTTAAATAACAGCTTTCAACATCTGAAGACAGTGGTTCTTGATATCCTCTTAAGGAAAATTTGCCTTCAAATTTGAAGCTGGAATGTCACTGGAATAACTTAAAAAGAATCCCTATACTTGGCTTTTTAAATTTTTGGTACGTATGTTAAGAATTGGGTACAAATTGGGGACCAGCAGTTAGCATAATGGCTATGTCGCTGGACTCCCACATAGTCGACTGCAGTTTGCGTCCCAGACCCGGTGGCTTAAACCTCATGCCGGGAGCATGTGTGTGCGTGCCCAAGATCCCGAGAGGAGAATGGAGGAGAAGGGATTGCGGCGTGGCCATCACCCCGGGGGACGATTTCTTGCTTTCTGTCTCTCTGTCTCTGTCTGTCTGTCTGGCGAGCACACGCGCCCTATAGCGAAAACCTCTCCCCCCCCCAAAAAAAAAGAATTGGGTACAAATTGAAATGTCTGTACTGATCCTTGACATAATCAATAAATCTCAATTACAAAAGAGTGTTTTGAAGCACCTGACCTAAGGTCCTTTCACCAGAGCAGGGATGAAGAATTGAAACAGAAATAAACTAGTAAATACTTAAAAGCATACTAGTATTATTTTTGATAGAAAAACTATTCTAATTTCAAGTAATTCTATGAAAGCAACAGTCCACCTCCTCTTTAGTTTCAAACAAGGTTTATAACTGTATATATGTATAGTAAACATCAATAAATATAGGCTACCACTTAGTGAATGCATCAATTTCTGAGAAGTAACTATTGGTAAAATAGCACATATTAGTGTGACTGAAAAAAAATCTATCTAATCCAGGCAGAGTTTCAACTATTATTGACAGCATTTACTTGGAAAATGTTTAATAAATTACTATTAAACTCAGAAACAAAGGCAGAGCTTGCACACACACACACACACACACAAAGTGGCATGGCCAAGAACTTCCTACATGAAGTGTAACACTACAAACTTAGGAGTATACATAAATCAGGTGTGAAGGAGGTAATATTAACTGTACTAGATGAGTGACTTCTACAGAACTACAGAGAAAAATTTTACAATTAAGGCTCACAAGGATTGACTACAAATATCCAAACTCAAGAACTGTTATAAGTGTTCTTGGAATTACGTAGGTTATTTGTCTTGTATTACTATTACTAAACATACTACTGTAGTTTTAAAATGACCCAAGACCCTCTTCTGATTGGTCAGTGTAATGTCATCACGGTAATTCTAGGACCTCAAGAAATAGGTAACCTACCAATTTCTGGGCCAACTACTAAGTCATGTGGTGCTCAACATGCCTTCACTCACTGAAAGGATTACTAGTAACTCCTATTCTTCCCACTACAGATATGCGTTAAAAAGAGTGTCAAAGGTTTTATGTGAGCAGGTCTTCAAACCATTCATGGAAAACACATATTATGAAAAAACTATATTGGGCCAGACCTGTGGCCTGGTGGTTAAAGGAGCGGGATCCCACATGACTGACCTCATAAGAATCTCAGCCCTGGTGGAGAACACACTGGGGGCTAGCATGCAGCTGGAAGTAAGGTGGCTGGATCCTACATGGTCAACAGCATGGTTTGAGTCCTAGAACCAGCAGCTTGAAAATCACACTGGGCACGTGTACATATGTGCCTAAAATCCTCAGAGAAGAATGGATAAAAAATCCTTCCTGCGGGATGATTTCTTTCCCTCTCAGTCTCACTCTAGCAAGTAAATGCACCTTATGGAGAAAATCTTAAAAAATATACTCTGTCACAATGATATGTCTATCACTGTGTTCAGCAAAGACTAAGCTAAAAGAAGAGCAATTAACATTGTGCTTAAAGATGTACCACAGGTAGCCCTTTGAAAATAGCGTAAGAGATTTACTAACAATCAATTGCTGCAGTTCAGATTTACTTTCTGCTGCTAATGACTGTTCTTTTAGAAGCATGTTAGACATCTGAGAAACATGAGCAGACACGTTTTCTGGAATAGATGTGAGTGATCCAAGGGCTGTCGTAGTAATGGTGTCCAGTGCAGAGACGCTGGAAGACAGCAGGTTACCTGTAACACCAGAACAGAAAGATGTAAACTTCAACATAAATATATATATTATTTTTTTTGGAGAGGTTTTTGCTATAGGGTGCGTGCGCTCACCAGAAAGACAGAGAGACACAGAGACAGAAAGCGAGAAATCACCCCCCCGGGGGGATGGCCAAGCCGCAATCCCTTCTCTCTATTCTCTTCTCGGGATCTTGGGCATGCACGCACATGCGCCCAGCGTGAGTTTAAGCCACCAGGTCCAGGACTCAAACTGCAGTCGACTACATGGGAGTTCAGCAACATAGCCATTACGCTAACTGCTGGTCCCCAACATAAATATATTAAAAATATAAAAATTCTATACAAATAGTTAGAGCTACTTCAGAGGCTGGAAAAATTATATCCTTTTTGTCAAATTTAATAACAAAATAATTGGCTCACTTATAATGATCGGTATTTTAAACATATATTACATATAGTCTATAGCATCCCAAAAGCCTTTGACATATTTCTAAGTATCAAAACAAGAGAGAATTCTGTGGTTGAAGTCCTAGACCTGGAGGCTTGCTTTGTCTTTCTCTCTCTCTCTCTCTCTCTCTCTGGTTAAACTAAATTAAGCAAAGAAAAAAAATGAAATAATTCTTTTTTTTCTTTTTTAAAGAATTGTTTTATTTATTTCTTTGTTTGTTTATTTTTTGAGAAGTTTTTGCTATAGGGCACGTGCACTCACCAGAAAGACAGAGAGAGACAGAAAGCGAGAAATCACCCCCCAGAGGAGATGGCCACGCCGCAATCCCTTCTCCTCCATTCTCCTCTCAGGATCCTGGACAGGCACACACATGCGCCTGGAGTGAGTTTAAGCCACAGGGTCCGGGACACGAACTGCAGTCGACTACATAGGAGTCCAGCAACATAGCCATTATGCTAACTGCTGGTCCCAAAAATTGTTTTATTTAACTTTATTTCTTTATTTTAATTTGGCCAGAGAAAGAGCAAGAACAAGAAAGAGAGAAACAGAGAGAAAGAAAGAAAGCCACCAGGTTCAGGACTGAACCACAGTCAGCCATGTGGGAATCCAGTGCCCTTGACTACCATGCCATCTGTCAGCCCTAAATAAGTAATTCTTAAATTTTTTTTCCTGTTTCTAATTGTTCCAAGCTTTCTGAGAATAATATTTTCATAATATATAATACTTAAAGAGGTTCTCTCTAAAGGGGGATGACAACCATGAATTGGTTTAAGATGGTATAGACACTTATTCTTATTTTTAAAAGAATTATTTTAATTAATTTATTTATTTTTATTATTTTTAATTTGACCAGAGAGGAACAGAAGGAGGCGGGGAGTGAGAAAGCAAGTTGCCAGGTCTAGGACTCAAACCATGATCAGTCATGTGGGAGTCCATTGCCCTTAACCATCACATCACCTGTTGGCCCATAGACACTTATTCTGACAATATAGCAAAACTACTAGATATACATTTCAAAAAAAAAAAAAAGAAAGAAAAGAAAAAGTGTTATAAAATGTTTATGCACAGAAAATTTCTATTAAGAGACCAAAAAATCTAACCATGATACCTATGTGGAAGGAGTAAGCATCAGGGACAAAGGACTTTTACCTCTAATGTTTATACACTTACCAAACAAACAACCTATTTTATAGAAAACAAATTTATTCTAATTCAAAGACAGGTAACAGCCCAAACAGATAATATACCTGCTGAGGAGAGTACTAGTCTTTTACAATCTTAAATTATGTTCTAGTTTCCATTATTGCTTTTTATTAATATGCCAAAAGGCACATGTGCTTGTTAGAGAGGAACGGGGAGAGAGGAAGGGAGAAAGCACCCCACCAGTGTGTGGGCCTGCCACAATTCCTTCTGTTTCCCCATCCCACTGGAATTTGGAAATGCACGCTCACATACTCGGAGTGTTCTTCACACTGCTAGAGCTGGGACTGAAACCACAGCTGGACATGCGGGATCCAGCTGCCTCCACCACCAGGCCACAAGGCCAGCCCTAAACGATCAGTTCTGAAATTAGCCTCATACTACACATATAAAAACTAGAATAATTAGAATCGCTTGAACTTACCGAACAGGGTCTTGTGAACTTCTAGCATAGCCTTTTGCTTTAAGCTGCCATCTCTGATTAATTCTTCCATATTATTAAACAGATTGTTCAGATTTTTACCAAAAACATCCTGAGTTTCTGCATTGTGCTGGTCAATTGCTTTCTTACGATCCAGCTTAGAATGGAGACCAGATACATCTTTTGTTGTTTCTTCAACTGTAGTAAGCAGCTATATAAGAATTTAAAAAGGAAATGTTGATAAGTGGATATGATAAAAGCAATCTTATGTGAATATCTGTGCTACGTAAGGGTATCTTTTGACAAGAACTAGCAAGTTTTAGAGATCTGACAGAGAGAGAGAAAGAAGTACCCACAGGGTCTTAGCTTTGCAGTCCACCCCACGTCTCAGCCAACCAGGATCATGAGCACACGGCCTGCCCAGTGAGCCCAAGGAGACCTCGGGACCCAAACCTGACATACAGCCTCAGCAGCACAGAGAATTGCATTACTTACGATAGCACCACCAGGGAGGCCGAATAACTTATTTTCCTTTTAATTTACTATAGGACGTGTGTGTTCTCTGGAGAGAGAGGGAGACGGTGAAAAAGCACAATCCCTGTCCTCCATTCTCCTGTCAGGATTTGGAGTAGCATGTACACACACACCTCCATCTTTTTTCTCTTTTTTCCTGAAGAATTATTATTTATTTTAATTATTCACGTATGACCAGAGAGAGACAGAGAGGGGCGAGTGAGAAAGCAACTGTCAGGACTAGAACTCTAACCGTGGTCAGCCATGTGGGAGTCCAGTGTCTTAACCCCCATGCTGGTCCCATACACCCATGTGTTTTCTAAGCTGATGGGTCCAGGACCTGAACCCTGCAGTGGGTATGTAGGATCCAGACACCTTAACCACCATGCCACTGGCTGGTCTGAAATAATGTTTGTTTTTGTTTTTTTTTTTTGAAGAGATTTTTGCTATAGGGTTTATGTGCTTGCCAGAGAGACAAAGACAAACAGAAGGCAAGAAATCACCCCCAGGGGGAATGGCTGTGCCGCAATTCCTTCTCTGTTCTCCTCTTGGGGTTTTGGGCAGACACACACAGGTGCCCAGCATGAGTTTCAAGTTATCGGGTCCAGGACTTGAACCACAGTCAGTCACGTGAGAGTCCAGTGCCTTAACCACTACATGACTGGCTGGCCCCTCAACTAATGTTTTTAAATGAACAGAAATAGCATTTGAGGTAAATAAACAAAATTTCACAACTCTGCTTAAACAAATTCTCTTGTTTGTTCATCGTGAGTACAAATCAAAACAACTGGCCAAACCTTGCTGGCCGCGTCATGAAGTTTCTCTTCGGTGCTTTCCAAAGCTGATGTGATATATTCTTCTTGGACAAGCTGGAATTTAGTTTCTTCCAAATGTTTCTGAGTGACTTCAAGTTCGTGGGTCTTATTTTGCAGGTCAGATTTACACTGGTCGAGTTCATTTTTATTATCCATAAATAACTCTGTAACCTAAATATAATACATTGAACATTAAAAAAAAAAAAAAGACTTAAAAATGCTGAACTGGTTTGTGAGACACCTGGCTAGTTCATGTATACCATCAGAAGAATGGAACAAATTATTTCCATGCAAAGGTTGTAACAAGCTACCAGGAAGGTTAGCACATCTTACATGCCATCTGGTTTCTTCCTACAGGCTTATTCAAAAGTTTGAGAACAAATAACAGGTCAGATGTGGTGGGGTTAATTCATCAGTTTCCTTCCAACACTGTCAACGGGTTTACATACAGAAATTAATGCAAGCTGGCACGGGAGGTTCAGGTCTCTCCGTGTGACCTAGTTACTACTTTTATGTAACACGCAGTTCTCTCCAGTATCTGTCTTCCTTCATTTCATAAACAAGTCAACAAAAAGCCTCAGCCTTCACTAGCTCATAGCTTTAACAAGAGTTATGGACAGTTAATTTCTTACAATATTACATAAATACAAATGGCAAAAAAGCTTCTACGGTAACATTGATAAACAGTAAAATTATGACACAATTTAATTTCAGTATGGGTCAACAAGAAAAAAAATCTTAAGTATAAAGTACCCAGTCCTTCACATTCATATTTTCTTTTAAGATTTACTTTCCATATAATGAATAGTTTTGAATGCTTACCCTACTCAGTTCTTCCTCAAGGGCACCAATTTTTTCAATTAATTCTACAATTTGTTCTTCTTGAACAGTTAATTTTCCATTCATAGCTCTAAAACAAAGTTTAATATAAGTTGAACAGTTTGGATTTTTTTCTAATTCCTATAAATTTTTTTCTAATATAATTGCAGTAGTTATACAAACTCAACTACTGTTTTATTATAAGCTTGTTTATATTACATTGAATACATATACCTTTTACAGTATATTACATTTTTTTCCCAGAAGGAATACCTTGCACATCATTCAAGACAAAGACATTACTATCCATCATCATCAAATAGCTTTTCATCATTTTTTCCCAAACTCATTTGTTTACCATCAGCATAATGATGCATAAATGACGACATCAGAAAGAACAAATGTATTCCTGTCTTTATTTTATAAATGAATAATTTTCTTTCCCTTTTTTTTCAGTCTTTCATATCATTTTATTTTCTCCCTTCAACCATAACAATATGATATCTAAATTTTGTCTTAACTGGTGGGTCTGTAAAAACAAGTTTATCCATCCCACTGACCGGCAAGGCAAATGCTGTTTCTTGAAATGGTCCCACCATGGATCCTCTGGTCATCCAACTCAAGTCACCCCCTTGCCTGGCTTTATTGTCACTATATTGTGTGACCACTTCATGGAATTTCATTCCAGACTTTAACTTTCCCATGGCTTCCATAGTTATGCTGTGCTTTTCACACAGAATGTGTCTGACCTTTACTGCATTGCCACCACCTTTGGTGGCACCACCCTATGACTTCTTGTCGGCACTATCACTCCCAGATGCCACTCCCCCTTTACCTCCTTTTCCAGAACCACTTTTTCCTTTGGGCAGCATCTTTAAGACTTGCCCTTTCTTTTTTTTTTTTTAATTTTTTTTCTTTTGAGAGGTTTTTGTTATCGGGTGTGTGCAATTGTCAGAGAGAGAGACAGACAGACAGAAAGTGGGAAATCAACCCCCAGCGGAATGGCCATGCCACAATCCCTTCTCCTCTCAGGATCTTGGGCACGCACGAACACACGCCTGGTATGAGTTTAAGCCACTGAGTCCGGGACTTGAACTAAGGTCAACTACGTGGGAATCCAGTGACAGCCATTATGCCACTGCTGGTCCTCAAACTAAGGACTTTAATCACAAATATGGACTATAAATAGATGGACAGTGGTGCAGCCGTAAAACACAACATTCTGTGAGGCTGACCCAATGGGAAAGTTCTGGGTACACCCAGAATGCCCCTGAGTATACTGGTCACACACATGTACATGCCTATGATCTGAGGCCATCTAAAACAAAGGTGGATCATGGCATCAAGACCCTTTTGGGAGCGATGTCTTTTTGTTGCTGTTTCTCTGGCTCATGGAAAAAAAACAATAAAGAAAATGAGAACACCAAATGGCGTAATGGTTACGTCACTAAACTCTCATGTGGTCAACCATGGTTTGAGTCCTGAACATGGCAGCTTAAACTCATGCCGGGCACACATGCGTCCGTGACCAAGATCCTGAGAGGAGAATGGAGATTTTTGCTATATATTTTTGCTCTCGAAAACAAAAAAGAATGAAAGAAAATGAACTTCAAATAAATGTCTTAGATGGCTACCCGGTGGCGGGGTGGTTAAGGCAACTGGATCCCACATGACTGACTTCGTAGTTCATGTCCTGGATAAGGTGGCTTGAAAATTATGCCAGGCACATGTGCATTCGTGACAAAATCCCAAGAGAAGAATGGAGGAGAGGGGGTTGGGAGTAGCCATCACTTGGAATATGATTTCTCACCTCCCCCAACTCTTGTCTCTCTCTGGTGAGTACACAAGTGCTATAGCAAAACTAACAAAACAAAAGAAAGGACCAGTAGATGGCTTAATAGTTATGCCATTGTCTTCCAGATGGCTGAATGCAGTTCGAGTCCTGGACCCAACTGCTTGAAACTCATGCTGAGTGTGCGTGCAGGTGTGTTTGCCCAAAATCCCAAGAGGAAAATGGAGGGGAAGAGACTGCCACATGACCATCCCCACTGAGGGGTGATTTCTTGCTTTCTGTCTGTCTTTCTCTGCCTCTCAGGCGAGCACACATGCCCTATAGCAAAAATCCCTCTCTAAAAAAAATAACTTTCAAACAGCCTATTATCAGAAAATGGTTATTGTTGGAAATTCACTCTATAGCCAAGGGCTTACCTAAAATTTTCTTCAGAAATGTACACCCCATTTTTCTCACGAGCCGCAGCAAGATCTCGTTTCAGACGCTCTATCTCTTCCGTGTACTCCTACACAAGAGGAATGTTATAGGTGCCAACTTAGTATGATATTTTTCCCATTCACTTTGAAGAGGATATGCCACAAAGAAATCACAAACTTTTAAAAAACATACCTGGCATCTATAGGAAATGAATTAAGCATTTGCCTTATCTTTCCTATCAGATTTTTATGCCTAGGTGGATGAAGTGCCTCTTTATAGAGGTATTCTGAAATCTGTTAAGGATGATTGAATTCAAATATTATCATTTTGTGGGGCAGCAGATGACGTACCAATTACATTGCTGGAATCCCACATGGCAAACTGCAATTCGAGTCCTGGACCCTGTGGCTTGAAAATCACGTAGGCCATATGTGCGTGTGTGTCCAAAATCCAGGGAGGAGAATGGAGAAGAAAGGATGCAGCTTGGCCATCCCCCAGAAGGGTGCTTTCTCACTTTCCCTCTCACTACCTCTGTGTCCACTCCCCCCTTATGAGTGCATGTTCCCTAAGGCAAAAACCTCTTAAAAAAAAAAAAGAAAAAAAAATTAGCATTTTGCAGTCTTAAAGAACTAATGGATTAAGTCACTCAATATCATAACTACTCACAAGAAGACCAAGAACCATACATTAAATGCTTCCTGATAAAAGAATACACCACCACTTATGAACCTGTCTTGCTAACAACCAGTAAATGCAAAACCTGAATCTTATATCAAACCCTGCAGATCCAACTACCAATGCTAGAAAATCTAAAGAACAGATTAGCAAGTCAAAAATACTTTAGGTAAAGTCAATAGCACAAAGAGTACAGGTACTTCTACAAGTAAATTTTAAGTGGGAGAAACATGGAAAATGAACCTATTTTATTGAGACCTCTGAAAATATACCAAAAAAATTGCAAATGGTGAACCTTACTTGGATCCTAAAACAAACTTTAAGAATAAGTGACAGTAAGAGAGTTGGAATTTTAAATAATGGCTGAATATTTTATTACACTACAGAATTGCTTAAGGGCTGGTCCAATGGCACAGCAACTAAGCTTTGTACATATGAAGCGGGACCCCACATGGCCAAACAAAGTTTAAGTCCCAGACCTAGCAGCTTAAAAAATACACCGGGCTCATGAGCAAGACCCTGATGGGGTGGAGAAAGGAAGGTAAAGGGACTGCGGCATGCCCGTGCGACACTGGGGTGCTTTCACTTTCTCTGGTGAATGCATATGCCCGCTACTAATAAAAAATATATATTTTCAGAAGAAAAAAGGAGTACACAAATATTTGTGGATTTAATATCATTAGGGGTCAAAAAACAAGTGTCTAAAAATGAATACTTACAAAAGAGGCTGATGTGTTTAAAATAATAAATACAAAGTCATTAGTTTTTCTCTGGTCCTAACCATTTTGAGATCCTTTACAAAGAAACAGGTTTTCTCAGGACAAGCAGATGGCATGGTAGTTAAGGCGTTGGACTCCCACATGGTCAACTGCAGTTCGAGTCCCAGACCTAGCAGCTTGCTTTCTCACATTCTCTTCTCTCTTTATGTCCCTCTCTGGCCAAATTAAATGAATGAATGAATGAAAGAAAGAAAAGCTAAATAAAATAATTCCTTAAAAAAAAATAGAGGTTGTCTCTCCTGCATTTCCTTTTAAACTGACTACTCAATTTTAAGTTACTGTATAGCTACAGTAATTAAGCCTGGGTAGTGTTGCCTGAGGGACAAGTAAGTCGATGGAACAGAATAGAGAACCTAGAAATGGGCCCACACAAATATGCCTGACCAATTGTTCACAAAGGTACAAAATCAGTTCGGTGGAGAAAATACAGCCTTTTCAGCAAAGGTTACTAGAGTAATCAGGCATACCATTAGTTTAAAAAAATGTACTTTAGGGACCAGCAGATGGTGTAATGGTTAAGTCACTGGATTCTCACATAGTCGACTATGATGTAAGTCACAGACAGGGCAGCTCAAAACTCGTGCCAAACAGTGCACGCATGCCTAAGATCCCAAGAGGAGAATGGAGGAGAAGGGATTGTGGCGTGGACATCCTGCCTGAGGGGTGATTTTTCGCTTTCTGTCTGTTTCTCCAGCGAGCACATGAGCCCTCTTAAAAAAATATCTCTCTTAAAGTAAAAAAAAAAAATGTGCCTTATAACTTAAAAATAATCAATTCAAACCACATGATGGGGTTAGCTTTGTGGACTGGTGGTTAAGGAGATTGGATCCCACATGCCTGACTATACAAGTCCTGGACCTGGTGGCTTGAGAAACACACAGGGCACGTGTGCATACATGCCCAAAATCCCGAAAAGAAGAGATGAAGAAAGGGATTACATTGTGACCATTCCCCGTAAGGGTGCTTTTTCTTCTCCCTCTTTCAATCTCTCTCTCATAGATGCACATGCCCTCTAGCAAAAAAAAAATGATAATGATAATAAAATTTTTAAAATTAAATTTAAAAATGAATTTTAGGGAATCAGGTTGTACTCTGTTTTTAAAGTAAGATACTGGCAGAACAGATTTTAAAAATAAAATAACGGGGCCCAGCAGGTGGCATGATGGATAATGGTTGAGCATGGTTCGAGTCCTAAATCTGATGGTTTGAAAATCACACCAGGCGCTTGTGTGGACATGTCAAAAATCCTGAGAGGTGAATGGAAGAGAAAGGATTGCAGAGTGGCCATATCCCTAGGGGGCAATTTCTTACTCCTCCCGTCCCTCGCAAGTACACACACCGAATGACAAAGACCTACAATAAGTAAAATAAAACATAACATGATCAAACTTTGGGAAAACAAAGAAAAAACCAGATCATGAGCTCATACATGGCAGCCTGTGGTCCTGGCTGGCTGAAGCTGGGAGAAGGACTGCAGCGTGAAGACCCCGTTGGGGGAACCTGCCTGTGTCTGTGCCTTTTTCTGTCTCTCTCATGAAAAAAAATGAACAAACAAACTTAAAAAAAAAAAAAAAAAAAAAAACTGAACACCAAAAAAAGGAAAAGACAAGGCAGACTGGGAGGAGATATTTGCAAATTTTATTTCCTCAAAGGCTTATATCTAGAATATATGACCAACACATTACAACTTACTAAGACAAATGACCCAGTTAAAAATTGGGCAAAATGGGGACCAGCAGATGGCGAAATGGTTACATTGCTGGACTCCCACATAGTAGGCCACCGCTCTAGTCCCAGACCCAGCGGCTTCAACTCATGCTGGGTACATGCGTGCACGCCCCAAATCCCAAGAAGAGAATGCAGGAAAAAGGGATTATGACGTGCCATTCCCCTGGGGGGGATTTCTCATTTTCTGTCTCTCTTCTCTCTTTAGTGAGTGCATGTGTCCTATACCAAAAATCTCTCTCAAAAAAAAAGAGCAAGGGAACCAGCAGTTAGCGTAATGGCTATATTACTGGACTCCCACGTAGTCGACCGTGGTTCATGTCCTGGACCCGGTGGCTTAAAACTCACACCGGGCACGTGTGCGTGCATGCCCAAGATCCCGAGAGGAGAAGGGAGGAGAAGGGATTGTGGCGTGACCATCCCCTCGGGGGGGGGGTGATTTCTCGCTTTCTGTCTCTATGTCTCTCTCTGTCTGTCTGGCGAGCGCACGCGCCCTATAACGAAAACCTCTCAAAAAAAAAAAAAAGAGCAAGATGAATAGACATTTTACCAAAAGAGGTCAACAAATGGACAATGAAAAGATGTTCAACATGGGACCAACAGTTAGCGTAATGGCTATGTCGCTGGACTCCCACGTAGTCAACCGCGGTTCGTGTCCCGGACCCGGTGGCTTAAAACTCACGCCGGGTGCGTGTGCGTGCGTGCCCAAGATCCCGAGAGGAGAATGAAGGAGAAGGGATTGTGGCGTGACCATCCCCACTGGGGGGTGATTTCTCACTTTCTGTCTCTCTGTCTCTCTCTGTCTGTCTGGCGAGCGCACGCGCCCTATAACGAAAACCTCTCAAAAAAAAACAAAAAATTGACTTAAGATGTACAGAATCCCAAATGTTATGCCAACCTAAAGAAGCCAGATGCAAAAGAACAGATATTGCTCAGCAAATGCCAATCTATAGACAGAACACTTCCTAACTGCAAAGGAGCAAAGGGCAACTATATAGTGATCAAAACTTTCTAAACTAGGTCATGGTGATATTACACAACTCAATAACTATACAGAAAAAAAAAAATCACTGAATTGTATGCACACAATAGCTCAATGGTATAGTATGTAAATTAAAGATGCAAATAATCTCAGCTCCCAGCTATTAGAAAAGATGAGACAAGAGCTTAGCAGCTAGAGACCTTGTTTAAAAACAAGCAAAAAAAGGAAAAGCCCGCATAGTGTACATATATGATGCAAATATTCTGTTACTGTAAATAAATGCAAACTTTGCTAAGGTACCAGCTTGGTTGATAAAGCTGGAAAAGTCAACATTAGCAACAGAAAAACATTTTTATAAGTTAAAAAATTTAAATCACCGGATTAAAAAAGACGATTAACAGGCATTTTAACAAACTTCATTTAACAAGTACCTATTTCAGTTCCTCATTACCCCATTTGTTAAGCAGGATTACATTACTCCACAAAAATTCACAATTACCTTAATAAGAGCTTTTTTGGTGAGTTTCTGATTGACTTCAGGCTTATTCAGTATGTTCTTTGCTCTATGAGCATATTCCAGTGTGCTCAGAGTTTCCTGTCATAAAGGAAAGGTCAATTACTAAAGATCATGTGAGAATGTAGTCCTGTTATCTACAATGTCATATAGAATAACTTACAACTAGTAATTTACAGTATCTAATCTTTTATAAATTCTATTCACTAAGACTACTATACTGAGGCTGGCTCAATGGTGCAGTGGTAATGTGCTGCTCAAAAGAAGCCAGATCCCCCATGACAACCATGGTTCGAACCCCAGGCCGGTCACTCGAGAGTGCCCAAGACGTAAGGGTCTGGAAGACTGGCGGAAAGGGATTGCAGCACGACCAGACGCTGTGCAGGGTGATTGTTTGTCTCTCTCTCTCACTCACATGTACATATAGATGTTCTAACACAAATAATGAAAAAAGGGATGAGCAGTTGGCGTAATGGCTATGTCATTGGACTCCCATGTAGTCGACCACAGTTCAAGTCCCGGACCCAGTAGCTTAAACTCACGCTGGGCACACGTGCGTGCATGTCCAAGATTCCAAAAGCAGAAAGGATTGCAGCATGGTCATCCCCCCTAGGGTTGATTTTTTCACTTTCTGTCTGTCTCTCTAGAGAGCGCACGTGTCCTAGAGTCAAAAAAAAAAAAAAGGAAGTTGTTTGGGTCAGCACGTGGCGTGGTTGTTAAGGTGCTGGAAACCACACAGCTGGCCATACAGTCTGAGTACCGGATACAGTCGCTTGAAAATCATGCCAAGAGGAGCCTGGAGTAGGCGGGATTGCAATGTGGCCATACTTCCAGAGGGGCGATTCTCTCTTTTCCTCTCTTTGTTCAGCATGCACGTTCTATAGCAACCTGCCCGCCCCTCCAAAAAAAAAAGAAATAGTTCTCTTCAACTTTCAGGGTATTTAACCTTACAACTCAATTAAATTTATTTCTTTCTTTAGAGTAGCCTTAAAACGAACAAATTGTACCAACTAGTGAATATATAAAATGCTCTATCTCCAAACAGTAGACATTCATCCATAAAAAGGAATAAAGTACTGATACATACAACATGGACGAACTTTGAAAACACAGTGGAAGAACCAGTAGCAAAGGACCACTTATTGTGTGATCCCGCTTACATAATGGAATGTCAAGAACAGGCAACAGTAAAGCTATGAAAAGTAGTAAGTAGCCTAGGGCTGGGAATGGCAAGAAAACAGTTACTAGTGGGGACAGGCTTTCTTTCTGCGGTGATGAAAATGTTCTACACTTAGATTTTCGTGATGTTTACACAAGTCTAGTAATATACTAAAATTAAAACACTTTAACCGGGTTAATTCTATGGTATATGAATTAATCTCAATAAAGGTATGACGAGAAAGCTGGAGACCTTACAAGCTTTCCTGCTTCCATTTAAAGATGATAGCAATTAAGGGTAGATTTTAGCATCTCTGTTGCTTCTCTTGTTTTTCCCCTCTGTTCCCACACATCCAACTGCACCTTCAGCATTCTCTAGACAGCCTCTAAAACATTAGCCTTCACTCGACCCACTTCTAAGTCCTCAATTACATCTCCGTACATCACCCACTGCTAATGACCCCAGCGATTTTCTCTGGAGACTGAGTAGAAACGCCACTAAATAACTGGCGATTGAAGGTTAAGATCTCTGCCAATAAGAAAAAAGGTCATTTTTCAGTGGTGTCCTCCTGTATGTGTCCACCTGCAAAGTCCAGATTCTTCTATATTACCGTATAGAATGGATCAAGCCAGTGAATACCACCGTAACATGGTAGTTAAATAAGACATAACAGCCACCACACTTGCGGCTTCCTTTCAGAGAGCTTACCTCAAGATTGACAGATGAAGGAGAAATTGTTGCGATTATAGATGTTCTTGTACGCCCCCCAAGAGAATCCTGAAGGATTCTAGTTAGTTTAGATTCTCGATAAGGGACGTGAGGTGTTTTTTCTACGAGAGCAGTAATAACCCTTCCCAAAGTCAAAAGGGACTGATTGATATTTCCGGCTTCCCGAGCTCTCTTGTCTACAGCTCCAGAACGGCCAATGTTTTCACTTCCGGCGAGATCAACCTTTAGTTTTAAAAACAAAAATAAAATCAGTCTACTAGATTTGGATTCAAGGGATTCCATTCTCATATTATACATAATGCATTAAATAGCCAGAAAAATCATTATTCTATAATTAACAAATTTCCTCCCCCACTATATAGCGACAATGACCACACAATGACTACTAAAATATTACCAACGATAGAAGTATAAGATTTCAAACTGCTTTACAAGGTGGTCAAAATGAAAACAGTGGTATTAAGGTGATTACTTACCAAGTTCAGTTTTCCAATTTTAACAAGCTCTTCTCCATCGATTGTAGTTTCTTTCATATGGATTGTAACAGAGAAAACTGAGTGGGAACGACTAGAAAACAAGATCCAGTTGCCTAGTCATTATAATGTAAAACACAATTTGATTCCTATAGAATATAGTAAAACTGGAAAGGAAGCTCCAAATCCAAGTGGAATAAAATAGATACTATCAGACAGGAGACACCAATAAAATGTTGGAAGGCAAAAAGTAGAAAGAACAATGTTTAGATTTTGCTTTCTTATATCTGCCACTTACAAGGGAGACCCTAATAAAAAACTACTTGAGGGATCAGCAGATGGCGTAATGGCTATGTTACTGGACTCCCACGTAGCCAACCATGGTTCAAGTCTGGACCCGGTGGCTTAAACTCATGCCAGGCGAGTGTACATGTGTGCCCAAGATCCCTAGAGGAGACTGGAGAAGGGATTGCGGCATGGCCATCCTCCCCGGGGAGGTGATTTCTAGCTTTCTATCTCCGTCTCTCTATTTTCTGGCAAGTGCACATACCCTATAGCAAAAACCTCTCTCCAAAAAAAAAAAATACACCCAGCATAGCTGAATTCAAGTTACTAACATGAAGTCAAGGAAAATAGAGTTGGGAAGAAGTGCTACCTTCGGGAGCCAGGGAGCCAGTATGAGCAAGTTTTAGCATACCACTGCCATAGGTTGAAGTTATACAATGATTTTTAAAGATAGTTTATTGTTTAAATGCAGAACAGATTCTAAAGATGATAAAAAGCAACCTTCTCAGCTAGGGGGAAAAAAAGAATGTGCCATTGGCCAAAATGTTTAATTGATAAGTTATAAGCTCTTTTCTTTTCACTGCTTAAATTAGTTTTCGCAAAAGTAACCTCAGGCTTAGATTTTCTGAGATAAACCTTTAAAATGTCTCAAACCAATATGCTCTTTAAGAGTGGTTAATACATTTTCTGTGTCTGTGCTTTTGAAGATAAGTTACTCTTCTTTCTCCTTCACTTCATGAATATCTTACCTTAAGCCATTTGGGTGTATATGTTTGCAGGTTGGTGGCAAAGACTGCAGATCATCCCTTTCTCAGGGAGCATCTTTAAACATTTAGTATCCATTTAATCTTACAATGGTTTAGAATATACTTTGGTGTCTGCAAGCAAAAGAGGGTAATATAGAAATGTGGCATTTTTCAAAA